TTTTTACGCAAACATGTTTTCAGTTCTCTTGGACATATACCTAGGAGTGGAAATATAAGTTACGTGTCTAAATACTTGATATCAAAATCTATTTGGTTTCTGAGTTCAGGTAACAGAGGCTATCTCTCACAATGCAAACAACTCTATACTGAGCTCTCCATGCCATCCCTACTCAAACACCTACCATCTTCAAAGTCTGCAGATACTAGTAACGATTTACTTTTTTCCAATTAAATTGGGGAGCAGAGATCAGTTCTTATGGCTCCAGTTATATAGTAGGTACTTAATATATGCTTATCTGACACCCTAAGAAGCTCCCAAATGAGAGAATGATGACTATTTACTCTTTCATTTTATAGATATTTGAGTGTTTAATGTATGGTAGCCATTGTGCTGATGCTGGGCGTAATTGTGGACAAAAGTTATTGATCAGTTTCATCATACTCCAAGAACCAGCTCACCTCCACAAATATTTACTGAATACCTATGATGTGAATGGTCTTGTGCCAGGTATGACAGCACAGAGTGGAATAAGATCTAGTCTGCAGCCTTTTAGGGAAGGCATAAACTCTACCTACCACAATAACGCAATAAAAACAAACAAGAGGAGCACCGGACAGTAAATGCTGTAAGAAAGGTATAATGCTCTGGAGAGTTAATGGACAGAATATGTACAGTTTGGGAGAGTGTAGAAGAGAATGGATATCAGAAAATATTTCTTCAATAAACAACCTGAAAGAAAGTGGCATGTTGATAGACGGGGATTCCAAGGAAAAAAGAGTGTTTCAGGCAGAAAATAGCATGAGCAAAAATATTAAAGCTGGGTGCAGTACAGAATCTTTTTTCCTCCCAGAGGCTGTCCCATTTGGATGTGTAGATGAGTAATGAGAAGTATGATCACAGTGTGAAAGGTCTTCATTGTTGGTCTTAGTATTTAAATAAGTTTAGGAGAATGAGTTGAAAGTCTGCCTGTAACAATTCAAATTACCTTAGTGATTTGTGCCAAGATTGAGATTCCTTAATCTTTCCTTGAAACTTTTCTATTTTGTATATCTACTAATCATGGAAATTAGTGATTTATCCTTCCTACAAGGAAAAAAAATTAAATCTTGACAACTATGTGAGCATGCTGATAGGGGGACAAGGCTGAAGCTCAATCAGTCTACCACTGCATCCCATACTGTGGGGAAAATGTACAGCTTAAAACAGACATGTGGGCAAATCACAATAGTCAGAAAAGCAGAAGCAAGATTGGGGGTAAGATAATTGCATTAATGAAGCTTCTAGCACCAGGCATTGGACCAGGAGATTTACATATAACATTCTGATTCCACCAAACAACCCCATTTGGATTTAGGAAAACTGAGGCTTAGGGAGGTCAAATAAATTGCTCATGGTTACCAAGCTAGTAAGCTCAGCTAGTAGAATGTAGAAACCACTGCTGAATTTGGGCCTATCTGATCCCATATTTTCCCCGTTGTTCACTCTTACTTGTTTTCACAATACAAACGAAGCTAGAATGGTAGGAAAATGACACATATTTCAATGAAAGGGGCTGAATATTTAACACAGGGGCTTCTATGGTATGGAGAAAAATTAGCATGAAACATTCAAATCTGGGTTTAGAATGGCTTAGAGATTAAGACCAGGAGAAATCAGGTTTAGGGCTGCTTCTTTATCCAGTTTGAACACCGATCATTTGCTCATTTAGGAATACCAAGTGAGCAAAATTCCAGTTTTAATTTGTAAATTAGAGAGTAAACTACAAGAGAATACGAATATTTGGCCGTATTTACTGTATTCATAGACCTGAGAACAGTGACTGGCACATAGTAGACACTCTAAACTTTTGCCGAAATAATGAAAAGTTATGTAAGGGGTATTCTCATTTGAATACCCGTGAAGACTATGAAATAAAGACAGCAAAGCAGTAAGTTGAAAACCCATTCAAGTTCTTAAGATACTTCCTTTAATCCTCAACCCTATGGCAAAAACAACAACAACAAAAATAAACCACCATCAAAACGACAAACAAAGAAAGCAATAGTTGCAAAACATTAGCCTGATTTTACAAAGAAAAGTAGATGAAAGAATGAAAAGACACTTCTGTATTATGTATAACATCTCTGTGGATAATCGAATTTCAGTCAGATGGAAGCCAGAATTGTGACCTACGGTTTTAGTATTTCAAACTGCTGTGAGCCGTGTATCCAATGAGTCTTTGAGAAACAAAATGGTTATCTAATCCAAGTATTTGAAAAAAAAATTGACAATTTCTTTATTATATAGCTGGCAAGTAATGGAATGAAACCTCAAATTCATTAACTTGAAGTAACAGTACATGTACACAAATCTTAATCTTAATTCTTTAAATTTTGATATTATATTTCCATTAAACATGCAAAGAAAACTGCACAAAGGGCATTAATGAAAAAAGAAAAAAAAAGAAAAAAACCCAAAACTTTGGAGGACAGCAAGCCTCTCCAAAGAAACATTTTTAAAAAGAATAAAAACAGGTTCTATGGACTTTCCCTCTCTATTTTTCACAGGCTTTTCTAATATTTCTTCTTTGATGGAACCAATGAATAACTGCCACTTATCACAAAATACCTTCTTTCAGATATGTACTTTATATATTGCTTTCTTCTAAACAGACAGTTCTTCAAGCTGCTCAAGTCTTTCAGCTGCAGCAATTTTTCTTATTTCTATTATACCGTATTTCTTCCATGGAGTATCATAAAGACCAATTTAATAAAGACAGTTTCCAAAAGGCAATATTACTCTACCTCAATCAGTATTTTAACATGATATTCTCTATTTTTTTCATTTAGTTCTACAATCTTTCCATACTTCAATATTTCCTAACACTATAGTTTCATTTGTCAGGGTGACTACATTTTCTTCTATATTACATTAATACAGAAGATAGTGAACACTTTTTCTTTAATCAATTAATACTTGGGGCAGTCTACATGTTCCTAACCTATTAATAACCACGAAGCCAATATTTTGTCTTTTCAGTCAACTACTGCAATTGTGTGGTCTTTCAAAATATAAATCATACTTGATTTTAAGGTCTTAGACTTTTTTTTTTTAAAAGTGACAACAGAAGGTTAAAACATGTTTTTTTTTTTTTTAACTGTAATATTTGGTTTAAAACATATTTTCTAATGAACTCTAAACCAAACGGCTATTTATTTATTTATTTTTGAGACGCAGTCTCGCTCTGTCGCCCAGGCTGGAGTGCAGTGGCGGGATCTCGGCTCACTGCAACCTACACCTCCCGGGTTCAAGCAATTCTCCTGCCTCAGCCTCCTGAGTAGCTGGGACTACAGGTGTGCGCCACCATGTCCAGCTAATTTTTGCATTTTTAGAAGAGACGGGGCTTCACCATGCTGGCCAGCCTAGTCTCCAACTCCTGACCTCGTGATGTGCCAGCCTTGGCCTCCCAAAGTGCTGGGATTACAGGCGTGACCAAACAGCTTTTTAAAAAAACTACTATAGAATTAAAATAATTGCAGAGTCTGAGGCTAGATTAAGTACAATCCCAAAAGTAAAAGTACACAGGCCTTATTACTTCAAAAATTCTTGAAAGACAATACAGTTCTAGGTTCACTGATAACATATCCTAAAATTACTAACATTATTCAGATTTCACAAAGTAAGCTTCAAATAGATTGATTCCTTCAACACACAGACACACACCCCTCCAAGTATTGTGTTATCTGACAACAGAAGCCAAGGAATAAAAATTATTGAGTGTTTATTACCACCTCACATACAGTTTATTACAAATGAGATATTGAAAAGCAGAAAGTTCTTATTGATCTTTTGTCCTTTGTGAGTCAGCTTTTTCCTATTTAGAATAGGAGCTGAGTCTCATGACCCTTGTGCTATACTTTTAATACCACAAAGAACAGATACCATTTAAAAATCAGTGATGAATTAAATTACAAAGGAGGAAAATGTAATAAAATGCAACTTTCACAAATGTTACGTGTAAGCTACGCATAAGAATTTTTAAGGCTGAGGAAGTTGTTCTCAGGCACAGGGCAAAACCTGTAGCCAAAATCAACAGGACTAATAATTTAAGACGTCAATTTTATCAGTTAAGGTAACATCAAATTTGAGTACTTTAGTGTGATATTTTCATTCTGCTAAGAAGAAAACGCCCCGGATTTTATGTACAATATTCAGTCCCCTAAATAAAAAGTTATCTCCTTAAAAGAGAAGCTAGATTTCCTGTTGCATGTCAAGGCAGAGGGCACCACACTTCACCCATCCGAGGCTGGACTTGAGTAGGGGTGCAGGTGTTGGCAATTCATCAGTCACACAAGCTATGTGGTCTTGCAGAGGTGAATAGAGATTTTTTAACAGGGGCTTTCGAATTCTTTGAAGAAAACACTGAGACAATTTTGCTGGGGAAGAAATGTTCCATCTTCCACGTGGAAACAAACTCATAAATTCTGACTGTAGTTGGTGTTCAGCACAACTTGGAATAACCTAACTTTTCACATAAAACACAACCCCCAAGCTGCAAGATACGGTCTCCGCGAATGGCACCAAGCACCACCTTTTCAAGCCCTCACCAGCACTGGAAGTGGGTTGGACACCCCCAAACCATCACCACCCCCCCAACAGGAAGTGAGGGTGTCCCCCCTCCCCCAGGACGGCCTTCCTCCCCTCCCCCAACCGGAAGTTGAAGCGCCCCCATTCAGCCGGCCTCCAACCAAGACAAACCAATACCACCACCACCAAAAGAGGGGTGATCTTCAAGGGGTGAAAGGCAGCTCGACTGGGGCCACCCCCAAGCTCGCCTTGCTTACTGACCTGCTGACGACAGGGGCAGGAGGGGGCCTGGGGCTTAAAGAAAGTCCCTTGCACAGAGGACAATTCCCTCAGCCCCTCTCAATCGCCTTCACTTCACGCACTCGTCGTCTCACAGCTGGACAAAAATTCTTCCGCAGCACTTTATTTTGGTGTCCTTTCCTTTTCTTTACCTAATCTCTTAACCACCTTTCCACAGGTAACTCCTCTTACCGCACAGCATTTACAATTGCTCCGGTGAGGAGAAAAATGAAATATTTTCCACGGTCCCTTCAGAAAAATGAAGGGATTATTTTGCCCCAATGCGGCGAAGGACTACGTGGTTACGCAAGGTGAGCCTTATTTTCGTGGAGGTTTCTGGGAGATGTAGTTTTTTTTTTAATTGCGACGGCCCGCAGAAAGTAGAGGAACTGAAATTGGTCATGACTATATATTAGCGTCCTCGAAAACATATTCTGTATTTGATGACGGCTGACCTAGCGGGCTCCGACGCCCAGATGGGCCCAGACTTCCCTGATCTTTTCCTATGCGGCTTAATCGAACCCAAATTTTCGCTCTCGCGGGCCCAAGGTCTCGGCAGCCCCGCCCCTTGTCTTGGCCCCGCCCTCCACAGCCAATCAGGCGCCCTTTAGGTCTCGTCCTCTGGAGCTTGGAACGCAGAGAGGAGGGGCCTGGCGGCGACTCCTCCCGCTGGGCTGAGGGAGACCTGGGAGACAACTGGAGCTTGTGCGCGCGCGCGCGCGTGCTCACGGCTCCAGGAGCGC